CAAACCCTCTCGTATCCTATCAAAGGAGCATGTTTCTGCGAGAAATTGACCATAGTTTCAATTTGTTTTGTTTATTTGGCATGTCATACCATCTAAATTTTTCTGGTTTAGTTGACCTCTTGAATGCTTTCATAACTTATGTGTAACCCTCTTCACTTAGCTTGTATTGCATACTATTTTGGTCTTTGATTCTAGCAATTTTTGCCATGCCTTAAACTGATTTTGTACATGTTTTGGACTGCCTTAGCTTATTTTTATGCCTCATGGTAGAATGATGGTTGCTATGATGGTCGAATGAGGTTTGCTATGCATGGCGTAGTGTAATTACTTTGCCTAGCCTTGAGTTTTTGAAAGCCTATTGATGCTTATACTGAGGTGTTTTTCCCCATTTTTTTGGGCCATTGAGCATGTCATTTTAAGCCTATACTTGTGCTATATCCCATATTCCATCTTTAAATATGTGAGAGTTATGCATGAATACCTCATTTATGGACATTGCATGAAGCTTCATTTCTATTGCATTTTCGAGCCATCATTTTAGACCATTTTTCCCACTGTCTTGGACCTACATAGGGACTATTGGGTCTGTTGGGTCATTGAGCATTGCTTTGTGTACCTCTAGCGTAATGCACTTCACTAGTTTTGGTATCCGCCATCTAGCATGCATTGTGTGAGGTGTTTACATGATTCAGACCGTCTGAATGTCATTTACAGAGCTAGAAAATGTGTGATTGTATGCCATATTTCATCCCTTTCCATGCTTTGGTAGAGTGGCATTTGATGCCTTAAGTTCGGTCCCTTGCATTGGGCATGTTTGCATGAGTGTTCCTGCCTTTAATTTCATCATGTTTGGCCATTGATTTGAGTGTGGCTGAGGCCCATTCATTTTAGTTTAAGTCCATCTTGCATTGTGTATGCCATGTCCATGTTGTCGCATGCTTGATCGTCGCATTGTGTATGCCTTGATTATGCCTTTGTGTATGTCCATCGTCATATGTGCGTTGTGTATGCCATATAGCGTCATGTGCATTGAGTATGCCATTCGTAGTTCATAGCATTGCGTATGCTAGTTGCACCTTTGCATGTCATTCCTTGCATGTTTGCATGTCTTAGTTGCATTTCGTTTAGGATTGCACGCTAGTTGTTGCATTGTGTTTGCATGCCATGCCATTCTAGTAGTTGCATAGTGTTTGGAGCAGGGTTTAGTCCAAACACAGGAAACGAGGGACATTTTGTACTCAAAGTGACGAAATGTGCTTCTATTCCCGGTCACCGACACTCTTGATTACCCATGATGGAGTTTAGGCCTTATTGTGTTCATTTATGCATCCATTTCACATTGAGTCATGCAGTTCGACTCCTCGGCCATCATGCATCGAGATACATGATTGGTGGCACGAGGATCAAGGACTACACTCCCTAGAGCTTATGCAATGACGGGGAGAGTGGTCGTGCATAAATATGTTGAAAATACTTTGCCATGCACCTTTCTTGCTCTCTGTTGCAGCAAATCGAAAACCAGCAGCAAAAACTGGTCGGTAGTATCCCTACAGCATGGTGGAGTTTCAGCCTTCTGGAGTTTTGTATAGTGTTTTGGGACCAGTTGCAAATAGAGGCAAATCAGGGCATTGCGATGGATTTTCCGGCAAGGCAACTCGAGCATGCATGCATGCATTCCATATCATTCAAAACCGAGCTGAGGCAGTCCATTTCATATGTTTTTCATGCTAGCTTATTTATCTTAGTTAATTTGTTAATTAATTAGGGTTGTGTAATAATTAGCTGTAATTCGTTATTCATTCGGTTGTGTATTATTTATTCGGACCCTCCGAGGTGGGCAACGTTGTAATAAGTGTGCGTGTGTGAGATGTATGTCTTCCAACCCCACGTCTTTCTCCTTTTCATTTACCAGCTTATGATGGTTAGTTTAGGGCACGTTTCATTTAGCATACTTATGCTTGCATGTTTGCATCCATTTATCTGTCTTGCATGCACCGGGCTCGGAGCATCATACTAACTGCATTGTATTTCAATTCCGAGTTGAATACATGTATCAGTTGTTGCATTTCATATGCCATTTTAGAATTGCCGAGCCTATCTTAGTTGCATTTTTGCATGTGTTGCATTAGGCATTTCAGCATAGTTAGGATTCATGCATGATTTCTAATTAGCTTCTTTCTTTAGTTCGAAGTAGTCGGTAAGTGTTTATGCTTTAGCATCCTTGCATGTGTGTGAGTGACTGCCATGCTAGCATGCTTACCATGAGGCTTGTGCTTATGTGATATAACTGCCAAAATGCCTGTGGGTGAAGGTTGGGTTGCTTGAGTTGGAATAATTCGTCGAAACCTGTAGACGCGCTCGCGTGGGGGGCCCTCGTTGCTATAGTTTGGACTCGATTTGTGTCACGGTTCTTAATCTTGAACCAAAGAGTTCAAATCCGGCAAATCGTTTTGAGAAACAGATTTTTTGAAAAGAAGTGCCAAACATGGACTGCTTTGCCAGATACAGAGTCGCCACCTAAATATTTTATTTTGGGAGAATTTAGAAAACCCTGACTCGTGCCTAAGGCCACGTGTCCATCATCACCAAAGTTGCCTCGGATCGTGTAAGTTCTTTTGCTCGTTTTTGAAGAAGCTGTCTCTGGAGTGCTTGATTTTCCTCTGACATCCGAATCCTTCTAGACTGGATCTAAGATTGCACACGGGCTACAATTTGCATGCATCCTAAAGCATTCACAGTTTGGCGTTTGACAGTAGGCCCTCGTATTAATGATTTCAGCCTAACAAGCCCTCTCAAAGCATGCAATGCCGTCCTTGCCTGGAGACAACAAACCCACAACAGCAAATCAGTTGATAACATTCATCATTTCTCAAGTGACCCGATGCTAAAGTTACAAGGAAGAAAAATGAGGGGAAAACACACTGCATAGTGCCAATATGAACAATTAATAATGTGTGTCCTCAAACAGCTAAAATTGTAGAAAACTAGAATATAATAAACAAATTTATATATATGTAATTCAATAGAATGATATCACTTTAAATGCCCCTAATTGGTTAACGGCCTACATTTCAACCATACTACAACATATATAATCAAAACTACAAGTTTGACTATTCTGAAACTTCCTTTGTTCTTAGAACTCTTGGTCAATCTCAACTCAACTCAACTCAATAAGCCTTTGTCCCAATTACTTGGGTCCATTTTCTCCAATTTGTTGATCTTTTCCTTAATGCTTATGCTTATCATTAATAAGTTATTTATGCAAGCCAAATCATTAATAAGCTAATTTTCAAAATAAAAAGGACACCCAAAACACGATACGCCCACTAAAGCGGGATCTAGGGAGGCAAAACATTGACTAGTACCAAAATGTCACTTGCAGTCATGTTCAAACTATGGGACTAACACGAGAGAGACAGAAAGTGATGAAATTATATGGTTGTTTTGGTTCTAAATGATAAATTCCGGACATTATTTTTCACAGCGTGTCATTAATACCAAAGAACAAACACAAACGCAAACACTTCATTCCATAAAGCTAGTCAACTCGAGCATGGCCTCATGGAGTCTGAAATACATAGTTATTTGGTAGCCTATATCTGAGAACAAGCTCAACAAAGCAATAAATAAAGATAAATCAAACAGAAAATGCCCGCAACCTCTTAAGATTGTAGAACTTTTGTTCTCAACCTCTCTAACCATAGAAAAGAAGCACCCTGCCAACTAAATATTAGCTATTGGAATCAGAGAATGACAAAAGATCAATTACTTCACAAATACAAAACACAACTCCAAAAATTCTCATTAGGAATGGAAATTTTTGGCTGTGTTTACACTATGTTTGGGAACCTAGGAGAGAAAAGAAAAGAAAGGATTACTTAAGTTATAAAAGAAAAGAAAAGAAAAGAAAAGAAATGATTGTAATTTCTGTCATTCTTGTTTGGTTAGATTTCATTAAGAAAAAAGAAAAGAAAAGAAATTATTTTATGTTATATTACCAAAATAACCTTTTTATATTTTCAATCATTTTATTTCTTTTATTTTTATAGGGACAAAATTGATATTATAAAAATAATGATTTCTTTTCTCTCCCAATCTCTCTATTTTTGGGAAGATTGAAAATGAGACTTATAAGAGAAATGAGTTTCTTTCAATTCCTCTCCATTTCTTCTCATTTCTCTCCACTTAAGTTATCCAAACAAATAAGAGAAATACATATCTCTTCATTTCTTTTTTTTTTCTCTCCAAATCACTCAATCCAAACATAGCGTTAGTGTGGAGTTCTAATCATGACTCTACACCCATATTTGAGTATGGTGTTTGGTTATAACTTTCAAAAATTAATTTCACACCACTTTTGAAAACTCGTTTTAGGTTGGATTTGAATTTTGAAATTTGGCCTACTCGGTCATCATCTCGTACGTCCGGCCGGTTGACAGGAACAGTGCGATTTTTTTATTTTTTATTTTTCTCCAACAATTGGCACTTGTAATTTTTATATATTAAATAAAAAAAAAATTCCAAATTTTTAAAAAAATTTTATGAGCTTTGAATAGAATTTTGAGTTGTGTGTTTGGTTATGAGTCACAAGTTTTTGAATCAAATATCATATGTCACATCAATTATTTCAAACTTAATTCAAAACTCTTTTCAAAACTCCATAATCAAATAAATTTTCCACACTCAAATCATAATTTCAAAACTCACAAACTCAAAATACAACTCTATTCTCAAATCATAATTCTAAAATTCTACCAGACGCAACCCTTATTTTTCCTATGAGAATGCAATGCGAATCAAATGCAGCATTCAAGCAATAAGAATTACATTTATGGACATTGGACATGCTTGTGCTCAAACTAAACAAAAGTGTTGGACAGAAATCTAAATGATTTTTAAGAGCATTTTTCACCAAAATAACATGGCAAATAGTTTGGCATGAAACGACATCAATCAAAACAAAGTACAAAGATAACGAAAAATTTAAAAATAACATAAAACAATTTGCAATTTTATGTATTTAAAAAGAGGCATACCAGGTATCCCCGGAATGCTGTTTGAATTTTGATTGCTGCCACTTCCTCCTTCGGTTTGCCTGTGAACTGATTCACGGTAGTGAGTCTAACAACCTCTGCTGCAGCTTGAGCAGCTGCAACAGCAGCCTCGGCTGCCACAGCAGTGGCAACTGCAACAGAGTAAGCATGTTTAGTTTGTTCATCCTCTGCTTCAATCAATTTCACATCTTCTGGTGGAGGAAGAGGATGAGGCACAGTAAGAGTTTCTGAAGGCGAGGAATCAGGAACAGACGATTTTTCCTTCCCAAACCATTTCTTCTTTGATTTATTTGATTTCTGAAAACCATTATTAAATATATTACAATCCTATTTAAATTTAAAATAGTCACAGAAGGACTAAAAGAATCAAAGCGAGAATTTTCTAAACCTGGGCTTTCTTTTCCTTGGACTCTGGGCTGAAAGCTTTCTTTATGGAAGAAAACCAATTCCCTTTCCTCCCCATCTATGTATCATACCTCAATTTGTCCTGTTCCAAGAACAAAACAACAAAGAAAAACATCAAAAGATTTCACCTCTATGTATTATTTCTCAATTGATCATTATAGCCATTTTTTTCTATTTTATTCCTAAACTATCAATTTCATCTATTTAGTCTCTGTAGTTCTAATTTTACTTCGTGTGGTCTAATTGGAGACGTCAGTCCAAATCAATAGTCCTAGAAACCTAATTTGATGGGCAAAAGGGTGAATGTCAAAGCCCAGAGACGACCCATTTTTGACAAGGTCGAAGACTCAGACAAACATGCAAGACAAACAAGATATGCGCCCGAAGGCAGGGGCAAAATGCAAGACAATGCACAGAGCCGGACATAACTTATGATCATGCAAAGAAAGCTGTAATGAAGCACACATGCGACAGTTTTAAGCTAGCATACACTTAACTACACTACAATGCAGAAAGGATGTAAGAGAATTATGCAATTCTCGATACGTCTCACTCGGAGGATACAATACCTATGCGGTTCGTCTGGTTGCACCAGCCTCAAATGAACCGTACATACAATATCGTGCCTGAAAAGAAAGCAAACTTAACAGGTACAATATCGTTAGCAACATGCATGACAATGCAAAAATGAATGCAAAATGATATGCAATATATACAAAACTATGTATAAACAATGCAAATGAAAGTGCAATGTAATCGAAACAATACAAACTATATGCAAAGCAATTAAATCATGATCCAATCATGAGCGGTTCGTAACCACACCTATGTCAAATAGATTGATGGTTCGAAACCACGCCTATGTCAAATAGGTTGATGGAGGTAACAAGTCCGTCTACCATAGAACGGTCTACTGAACTATGAGTAATGTAGACGGACACAAGAACAAATATTTGGGAGGAAATGACAAAGGTGGGGAAACAACCCGCTGGGGAAAGGACAACGATCCTAATGCTGGATGCAACAATTACACTACAATGTAATATATATATGGATATGCTGGGGAGATGGCAATGGATATGGAACAGGGGCCAAACCAAATCTTGCCTAGGCAAGGCATGTAAGCATACAAGCCATGTCTAACATGGAACGGTCCACTGAACTATGCTTCGACACGAGAAGTATGGGCACATACCAGACCAAGCTCAATCATGGAAAGGCGCGAGCCATGGACGGGGGGGCGATGCAATGAATGCATGCGATCTACAATGCAGTGGATATGGCGCGCGGGCCAAACCAAATCTTGCCTAGGAAAGGCATGTACGCGTACAAGCCGCGGCTAACATAGAACGGTCCACTGAACTATGCTTTGACACGAGAAGTATGGGCACATACCAGACCAAGCTTAACCTGGAAAGGCGCGAGCCATAAATGGAAGGTGATGCAATAAATGCATGCAAATAACAATGCAATATCTACAAATATGCAATGGAATGGAAATGCAATATATATGGCACGCGGGCCAAGCCAAATCTTACCTAGGAAAGGCATGTACACGTACAAGCTAGGTCTAGCATAGAACAGTCCACTGAACTATGCTTCGACGTGAAAAGTATGGGCACATACCAGACCAAGCTCAATCATGGAAAGGCGCAAGCCATAGGCGGAAGGTGATGCAATGAATACATGCAAACTACAATGCAATATCTACAAATATGTAATGATGCATGGAAATGCAACTATATTTTTTGTTTTGTTTTTTTTTTGAAATGCAAATGCATGATGATGCATGATTTCGAAGTGCGCGACAACGCGTGGCTTTTAAGATACACGTGAACTTGAATATGCGACGACGCAAGTCGCTTGAAATACATGTATAATGCAACTTATCAAAAGTCGTTCGGGCACGACAAACACCGAAGGACTTGCACCTTAAGAGGATTTAGGGTCTCCTAGACAGTGTATATTGCGTAAGAAATGCATAACAATGCAAGTGAACTTGAAATGCGCAACAACGTGCGGCTTAAGATATGCATGATAATGCCAACGAACTGTGTACATCAATGCACTAAAGGTTTTGCACCTTCCAAGGATTTAAGGTCTCCTAGACCGTCGAGCACGACAAACACCGAAGGTCTTGCACCTTCCGTGGATTTAGGGTCTCCTAGACCGTGGATATACCTGTGCGGCTCGTCTGGTTGCACCAGCCTCAAATGAACCGTACATACAATATCTTGCCCTGGAAAGAAAACAAACTTAACAGGTACAACGCATATTAATGTATTTGAAAATGCGTGACAACGCAAACCAAGTGGGAAACATAACATGCTGTGAAGGTACAGATGTGTAAGTAGAGCATGCGGTCTACGCAGGCAATGAAATTGATCATAAGCATGCAGTCTATGCAAGCAATGAAATTGGACATAAGAATGCGGTCTACGCAAGTAGAATATGCGGTCTACACAAGTAACAAACATGCGGTTTACGCAGGTAATGAAATTTGAACAAACATGCGGTCTACGCAAGTAATGAATTTTTGAACAAATATGCGGTCTATGCAAGCAAAACATGCGGTCTACGCAGGTAATGGAATTGAATAAATATGCGGTCTATGCAAGCAAAACGTGCGGTCTACGCAAGTAATGAGTTTGAACAATTATGCGGTCTACGAAAACAAAACGTGCGGTCTACGCAGGTAATGAAATTGAACAATCATGCGGTCTACGCAAGCAAAACATGCGGTCTACACAAGTAATGAATTTAACATGCGGTCTACGCAAGTAATGAAATTGAACAATCATGCGGTCTACGCAAGCAAAACATGCGGTCTACGCAAGTAATGAAATTGAACAATCATGCGGTCTACGCAAGGAAAACATGCGGTATACGCAGGTAATAAATTTAACATGCGGTCTACGCAAGTAATGAAATTAACATGCGGTCTACGCAAGTAATGAAATTAATTACAAACATGCGGTCTACGCAAGTAAAGTAACTAACATGCGGTCTACGCAAGTAATGAAATTAACATGTGGTCTACGCAGGTAACGAAATTAATTACAAACATGCGGTCTACGCGAGTAACGTAATTAACATGCGGTCTACGCAAGAAAAACATGCGGTCTACGCAAGTAATGAAATTGATTACAAACATGCGGTCTACGCAAGCAAAGAAATTAATTACAAACATGCGGTCTACGCAAGTAAAGTAACTAATATGCGGTCTACGCAAGCAAAACATGCGGTCTACGCAAGTAATGAAATTGAACAATTATGCGGTCTACGCAAGCAAAACATGCGGTCTACGCAAGTAATGAAATTGAACAATTATGCGGTCTACGCAAGCAAAACATGCGGTCTACGCAAGTAATGAAATTGAACAATTATGCGGTCTACGCAAGCAAAACATGCGGTCTACGCAAGTAATGAAATTGAACAATTATGCGGTCTACGCAAGCAAAACATGCGGTCTACGCAAGTAATGAAATTAATTACAAACATGCGGTCTACGCAAGTAACGTAATTACGTAAGTAATGAAATTGATTACAAACATGCGGTCTACACAAGTAACGTAATTAACATGCGGTCTACGCAAGCAAAACATGCGGTCTACGCAAGTAATGAAATTAATTACAAACATGCGGTCTACACAAGTAACGTAATTAACATGCGGTCTACGCAAGTAATGAAATTGATTAATCATGCGGTCTACGCAAGCAAAACATGCGGTCTCCGCAAGTAATGAAATTGATTAATCATGCGGTCTACGCAAGCAAAACATGCGGTCTACGCAAGTAATGAAATTGAATAATCATGCAATGAGATGCGCAAGACAGTGCGATGCGTTAAACAACGCGAGTGCACAAGACAGTGCAATGGATTTGAAATGCACAAGACAGTGCGATTGATATGTGATGCACAGGGGGGCAACTTTTGAGTTTCGTAAAAGCCAAAAGGATACGGAAAGGATATACCTTGCACGAACTCGAGTGCCACGCACAGAAGACACGACCCGAGGTCAAAACGGAGGTCGGTTGAGCGTCAGAAGCGCACTATTTTGCACTGTTTTGAGCACTAAATGCCCTGGACCCCACACATAACTCAAACAAGGGTGTACGAGGCTCCAAAATCACTATAGGAGGCCACCGGATGCCCACCGGCCATCAAAATGAATCACCGGCCGTCCATCGGCCATCATTCAATTCCATCGGCACAATATTTTGCCGACCGGCAAAGAGTGTGGCCGAACGGCAAAAACTCCCTGTATCGGGGCAGTTTTGTCATTCCACTTCGGGTCTTTTAAAACAGGGTTTCTAACCCTATTTTCTTCACTTCTATTTGGTCGAAAATCCCCTCTCTCTCTCTCTAGAGCATTTTCCTCCCTCGATTCTCTCATTTTCGTGCGTTCTAGCTCCCATTTCGTCGTTCAATTCGCGATCTCCTTCGCGTTTCAGACATTTTCAACCGAACGAAACTTCGCTTCGGTGTTTCTTTCTTGATTTCCGCCACTCGGGGCTTGTTTCCCTCGACTTTTCCTCGATACCCGTGCCCTTTTCGCACTCCGGCTTTTTCGGCCTTTTCCGACCCTCTCGGGGTTTGGCTTTTTGTTGACTTTTCACCTTCTCGCCCGATTTTTCGCCTTCCGGCCATTTTCACACCCCCTTCGAGATGGCGGATGATCTTCCACAGGGCGGGGCTCCTCCAGAGCACGAGATGGACCCCGAGGCCGAGCCCTTGCCACTCCGTATCCGGCCATTCGATCCGGAGACCTACAGGCCTGCAGTTCATGAGATGCTCCCCGACGGACTACGCCAGTTCAGGAGCTTTGATAGGCACGTGCCTCCCGAGCTACTACTGCGTGAGCCTACCTCCCACCTGTCCTTCGGCGCTTCCGAGGTCACTCTCTTTCTCTGCTTTCCTTTCTGCAAGGTAGGATGCAAAACTGCCGTAGCTGGTTATGCTCTTTAACTGTTTTAGCTCAGATACCCTGTATACTGTAGTTGATTGTAAACATACGTGCAATTGATATCTGTTTGAGACTGACATATGCTCACACACTGCACTGGCTTTGAATCACCCAAACACACGGCGCACACTGTATTTCACTGCCTACACACTGGTACCCGGTATTGGCTTGAGTCT